CCTCCAGGGATTGGGCATCCACAACTTCTCTGGGCAACCTGTGCCAGTTCCTTACCATCCTTTGAGTAAAGAATTTCCTCCTAACATCTAACTTATATCTCTCTTTTTTTAGTTTGAGACTGTTCTTCCTTGTCCTATCACTATCAGCCTGTTAAAAAGTTGGTCTCCCTTTTGTTTATAAGCTCCCTTTTGAATACCGAGGGGCTGCTATATATGCTCACCCCAGAACCTTCCCCAGACTGAACAAGCCCAGCTCCCTCAGCCTTTCTTTGCAGGAAAGATGCTCCAGACCTCTGGTCATCTTCATGGCCCTCCTCTGGACATGCTCTAACAGCTCCACATCTCTCCTGTACTGAGGGCCCCTGACCTGGACACAATACTCTAGATGGGGCCTCATGAAATGGACAGAGGAGGACAAGCCCCTCCCTCTCCCTGCTGGCCAACACTCTTTTGATTCAGCCTAGAACATAGTTGTCTTTCCAAGCTGCAAGCACACACTGCTGGCTCATGTCCAACTTTTCATCCAACAGAACCCCCAAGTTCTTCTCCACAGAGCTGCTCTCAAGGAGTTCTCCCCCTAGTCTGTACACATACTGGGACTGTTCTGGTCCAAATGCAGCACCTTGAACTTAGCCTTGTTCAATCTTATTAGATTCACATGGGCCCACGTTTCAAGTGTCCCTCCAGATGGCTTCCCTTTTTGTATTATATCAACTGCATCATCTGCAAAGTTGCTGAGGGAGCAATCCCTTCAATCCCACTGTCCAGGTCACTGATAAAGATGCTGAAGAGTCCTGGTCCCAAGACAGACTCCTGGAGGATTTGTCACTGCCCTTCACTTGGACATAGAGCCATTGGTCAAAACTTCATGCCTGTGACCATCCAAACCATTCCTTATTCACTGAAGAGTTCACTCTTCCAATCTGTATCCCTATTCTCTTTGGCTAGAGGAGAAGGACTTGTGATGAACTAGACTGGTGACAGTTAGAGATACTGTTTCATAATGTAAGACATTACTTCACTTTTCGCCTTATAAAAATATTTAAAGCTTTAATGTATCATGTATTTGAAATCATGTTACTGATGTTATTTTATCTGGCTTTAAAAAAAAAAAAAGAAAAGCTATGGCCTTTTATTAATGGACCTGTGCTAAACTACCCCAAATTTTTATCTAGGTAAACACCATACTAATGTCTTCTTCATCCAAGTCATGGCACACTCAGAATGTTGACCTCATAAGCAAATCTATTAATATTCATTTAACAACTTTATAATATCACCATGATTTGAGTGGATACCCATGGATTGTGGCAATGTAGGGTGGCAGTGTTTATTTGGAAGAGCAGATGAAGGTAATATACAAGACAGCTGCCTTGAAATCTGTCTAGAAGGGGAACAGGCTTAAAGAGAAGTAAGCGTGAGCTCAGCATTTACTTTTTCATATTGCATCAAAATTTTAGATTGAAACTGCTAATATTAGAGTTATGGTGAAAATTACACCAAAGTTCAAAACAAAACAAAGGGTTTTATGCTTTATGGCACTTATCTGTTGGTGGGAATAACAAAGTTACTCTTATAAATCTCACAACTGAGTGCCTATGTTTCCAGAATTCTGCACACCTACTTATTCTGAAATGTCTGTCATTCTGAGGAAGCTTACTGTAAGGCCAGCACTGAGTTTTTGTGCTGTAAGAGTTAGATGGTATTTTTTTTTACGTTTCACCTCTCAGAGCTCAGTGTCTGCAGAAATCACTGAGCTTTGCCCTGTTGGTGACTGGCAAGTTGTGATTGAAATTGGAGAGTGTATGTAGAACAGTTCTGGCTGGTGCGTGTAGGGTGTTGTTGTTTTGTTTTGTTGTGTTTTGTTTTGAAGGGCTGATGGTGATTTTGTGTTCTGGAGGATTTTGGATTACGTTCAGTATTCCTGCTCTTTGGAACACTCTCCTATATTACGAATACCTACATTACGAACACTACAGCTGCTAAATTATCATACTGCTTTGCATATTGCATACATGGCTAAGTCTTAGTATTTTTATTTTTTCCTAAGATTTATAATGTTTAAATGTAAGAAGAACATGATCAGGAAAAAAAAAAAAACTGTTTAAAGAAATACATCGGGGCAGGACAAGGTATCTTAATGCTCACTGATCCATTTCCAACAGCTTTCCTAGTAAGTGGAAGGTTTTTTTGTTTTGTTTTGGTTTTTTTTGTACTTTTTTGCAAAAAACAAAAAAGAAATCTTAGTCTAAAGGAGACAGAACCCATCCATGAAAAGAAATTGTCTGAACTGTGCATTAACCTTTTCAGCCACTGCTCTTATGTTATTTTAATACATTCGGGGTTTGGTTTCTATTTCTCTAGGTCTTTCTCCCATTGTATATTGAAACAATCTTTTCATATAGATATTATACTGATGTAAATTCTCATATTCCCATTTATTTTTTACCTCTATAAACATTATCAGTCTCCTGGGAATGCAAATATAAAATTTTCTTATGTTTCTCTTTTACTTAATTGGTGTAATCAGTTCAATATAGCCAAGAGCTAAGCTAAACTTGAGATGGATCTGAAAATGACAAGAATTGATTTTCAATACTGAAAAAGTAATGAGACATACACTGAATTCCCTTAAGCCAAAATCATTACTTTCCAGACCAACTGTCTTGTTGTTCATGAAATTACTTGTAAAACTCTTCAGAAAGTTTCTTCGGGAGGGTGATATAACGTACATCGCTGTAGGGATTATAGCACACTTACAGATATCAACTGCAATTGAGGTTAAGTACATGGTCAACAGCCTGACAGTCTTTACAAATTTAAGGATAAATTCTAACTCTAAAAATTTACTCTGATTTTCCAACATGCTCACTTTTCAGTAGTTATATCAATAGAACAATCTCAATATATAATATAGCTTGTCCTCACTAGAAGCAACCATCTCTGCAATAGCAGTACTGGAACCAAACTGGTTAAGAATTTTGGAAGTTTAAAGCAACTTCCAATAAATAATAATAATAAACATTTAGCTAACTATATTTCTAGCCCTCTTGTTCTATTCAGTTGATGCTGTGAAATCAGCCACCAGCCATGTTAGTTTTCCAGAAGATTGGAGTGTTTCTCTGTGGATGACTTTTTAATGCACTGTTACCAAGCCTATGAAAATAGTGTGAGGCTTAAAAAGGCAATCAGGAATTATGTTAACTGGTATGATTCTGAGAATAACCCTGCAGTCAGAATCAGCTGTAAGTGGAATTGCCAGCATAAATACCCTGTAAAGATCCAATAATCCTCCTCTTATTCCACATCCAAGTGGGAGGGATAACAGAGATCCTTCTCTGCAAGGCTCAGGACAAAAAAGCAAAAAACAAAAAACAAATAAATGAAGTTCTGATTACATTTCTTAATTAAGGTTAAGGAGAAGGCCACAGATATGGCTGCCGAGGTACCAGCTTGGGAGAAAAGCTGAAACAGTCAATATCCAGGAAAAACTCTAGAAAAGCATTGCTCATTGACCATGGTAGCTGAACTTGACAGAATGACAAAGCCTCACTGTATTACAGTGACAAGTTCTGTAACCTACCTTGGAAAAGACTTGCTGCAGTAGGAGAGAATTTACTGAACAGCATTGAGAAGTAGTCTGGAAATCTCTCTTCAAAGATAAATCATTTTATTAGGGGCGGAGATTTGTGTCACATGGTGCTTTTTTGTGCTCCTTCAACACTACCTGCATTCTCTTATAGTTTCCCTTCTCCCTTCATCAGATAAGAAATCTTAGGAAGACAGTCATAAGTGTGGAATTTTTTATTCTTATTGTAGTCTTTTCACTTAAGAATGAATGAATAGCGAAATTATTATTGTTTGCCTCCCGTGCTTGAAATCAACATGATATATGATTAATACAAAATAACTAGGTAAAATAACTGGGCTCAGTAACACAGAAGCTGTGTGGAGGCGGACGGATACATAAAAGCAATTCGTTGTCAATATGCTTTTGAATTTCGTAATCAAATTTGTTTCCTCTGTGTCGTCGCGCATTTATTCATTAATTATTCAACTCACACTCCGGCTGATGACAAACGCTGGGTTTGGCAGACCTGACCGTTCCCCGCGCTGTACTGCAGCTACTACCTGCCTCGCAATAGGGCGGGCCGCCGGGCACCGTTCTGACAGCCGGAGTCCTTCCCCGAAGCCCTTAGGTCTGACAGAGAGCTTTGCTGAAGGCTGACAGCGGAGGCCGGAGCCGGACGACAGACGCGGCCATTTGCTCCGTGCCGTGCGGATGGACGAGCAGCCCCGCAGGGCCGGCACGGCTCCCCTCCCCGCTGCCCGCGGTGCCCCTCGGCCGCTGTCGGGTGCGCAGCCCGCGGCGCCCGGCCGCTCTCCCCGCCGCTGGCGCAGCGCGGCGCCGCCCGCTTCCTCCTGCCCGTCGCCGAGTCGGCAGCCTCCCCAGCGTTTGCCATTTGCATTCCTCCGCCTATAGGGAGGAGGCGGAAGCTTTTGCCCCCCTCCCCCCCTTATCCGGGGGGGTGGGGGGGGGGGGGAGGATAGGCGACGGCCGGAGGCGGCCGGGGCCATCGAACCCTCCGCCGGGCTGCCCCGGCGCGGCTCCGCGCACCCGCCTCTTCCTTCCCGCGCGCCACCTCCGCCGGGGGAGCCGGCGGGGGTGTACGTGCCGGGTCGGCGGCGAGGGGAGGGTCTGCGGCTCGTCGTTGCTGCGGCAGCGCCAGCCCAGCCGCGCCGCCAGGGACAGGGTGCGGGCGCCGCCGCCACCGGGCTCTGTGCGCTGCTGCTTCGCGGCGATCGCCGCTGCCGGCAGGAGGGGCAGGGATGTGAGCGGCCGGGCCGGGTTGGCCCCCCCTTCCCTTTTTTCTTTTTTTTTTTTTTCTTTTCTCAGGAGGAAAAAAAAAAAAAATCAAAAAAAAAAATCAAAAAAAAAAAAAATCAAAAAAAAAAGCCAACCACCCAAACCAGCCGACCAACCCAAAAAAACCCTGAGGGCGTGGGGGGTGGGGGGGATCCCGTGTCGCCGCCGCCACCCTCCACTGGATCTATTGTCAGGGAAGGAGGAAATTGCCATCCGCCGGCAGCGGCGGCACATCTGGGCGGGCACATCTGGGCATGCAACATCGGCTGCCGGCGCCCGCCTGCTCCGTCCTCCTGCCGGCCGCGCGGATCGCTGCGGGGCGCGGAAAGGCTGCCACTCGTCCGCCGCCGGGTCCATCGTCGGGACCGAACGCAGAACCGGGGGGTGGGGGGGGGGCTGGGGATAAAGGCTGCTTTTTTCTTCTTCCCCTGGGATCTATTCCATGGGGATGTGTTCAAGACAAGAGAGGATTCAGAAGGATATTGACGTTGTGATCCAAAAGTGCAAGGCGGAGAAGGACTGCCTGTTTGCAGGTGAGTTTCCCCCACGGGCGCCGGTTCGGCGGTTACGAGGCTGCCGCTGCCCGACCCAGACCCGCGGTGCCGCGGCCCGGACCGGGCCGTGCCCTTCGCTGACGCCCCCTGAGCGGAGCCGCCGTGTGTCTGCCTGGAGCCCCCTTCCTCCTCCTCCTCTCCTTCCGAGGGCATGTGAGGGCAGAGGAGTCCAGGGTCGGCTGGGAAGTGGGGGGGAAGGAGGGCATCTCGGGCCGGGCAGCGTGGCAGCGGCCGCACGCCGAGCCGTGCGGTGTGCGGCTGTGCGTGTGCCCGTGCCCGCCTGGCTCAGCTCGCAGCTGCTGGGCGAGCCGCTCCCCGCTGCTCCTCGGCCCGGAGGCGGCCGCGCGGCTGTAGGGGTCCCGCCAGTGCGGGCGTTCAGTCCCGCGGGGTGGGGGACGGGGCCGGACCCCTCCAAGCCCCAGCGCCGGGGCTCGGCCGGCTGCCGCCGCCGGGAGCGGTTGCCTGTTGCCTTTACCGACGTGGAAATCCCTGCTGTTGCCATAGTACCGGGCACTTGTTGCGAGGGGCTGGGGGAACTGCCGCCTTCTCGCTGATGCACACCTACCCCAACCCCGTGTCGGTGTGCGAAACCCTGGTGATTTCAGCCCAAATAGAGAACCAGCGGGAAACCAAGCGCTAATAACGCGGCCCTTTGTGTTTTCAGATTTCAGGTACTCAGACTCCACCTTTACCTTCACCTACGTTGGAGGCTCCAAAAGGTACCTTATTTTTAGTCGTTACACCCTTGTTCCCGGCTCGCAGCATTGTTTCATCCCCTTTTGCTGCCTTGCCTTGTGCAAGGAGGATCGATCAGTAAATCATCCGCGTTCGCACAAACGTGCACTGAGGAGGAGGTGTGGAGGGAGGTGACCAGAACGGTGATCCTCGCCTGAGCGCTGCTCAGAGGCGCTTCGCTGCTTGTTTGTTCATATGTGTGCATAAGCTTAATTTCTGCCATATGTAAGATTAGCTTAATTTCTGCCGTATGTAGGATAAATTGCAGGGTGCCAGCATATCAGATACAGAATGAATTCATCAGAAAAAAAAAATAAAAAATAAAAAAATGAAAAAGTTATGATTTTAGTAAAAGATAGTCTATATCTCACATCAGCATCTCATTCTCTTGCATTTGATAGCCATGTTTGGTCCCACAACAGAAGCAAGGCTGCCTGTAGTTAGCCAAATTAAACTCCTGAGAGCTCAGTGAAGCATCAGTGTAGCTTGCAAGGTTACAACATTGCTTTAACTAAGTGCTAGTTTAAATACTGTTGCTAAACGGCTCTGAGTTTTTGATTATAAACCGAATTAGGTTTTATTATTATTTTTTGCCATTTATTGTCTTCCTCTGTTTTCAAAAGGAAATATTAATTGCACTGACAAAAGCCCACACTGGTCAATCACACATCATTTTTGTCGCCCTGGCTCTGAGTTGCCATTTCCTTGATGGAGTATTTACAGTATATACTAGCTTGTTATCTTTTAGTTGAATTTTATTAGACTTGGCAATGTATTGACTTTTTCTTTCTTTCTTTCTTCTTCTTCTTCTCCTTATTATTATTGTTGTTATTATTATTATTTCCTCAGCTTATCTCTGGGAGCTGTTTCTCCTTCCCGGGGTATGACAGGTTACAGTGCTCTGGAGTTGCTCTTTGCAAGGAAGCCCTGGGTGCCCCACAGCCTCCGTTCTGCTCCATGCACACTTTGAGCACTAGCCGCAGGATGGGCACCCAGATAGTCTCTGGGCTGTTAGGCTGTTAGGCTGCTCAGAAAATGCATTCCTGACCTCAGTGCCCCATATTCTCTGACTGGAGAAAGAACTACATGTGTCATTTTCAATGGAACAGAGTAGTTCCCCTACCAGAGAATCAGGTATGCCTTCAGGTTGCTTGAAGTATACTCTTTAATTTAGGGTTTTAGTGTTTTGTTTTGTTCTTGTTTTAAAAGACAATATACAGTGAAAATGATCTTATAGAAAATACTACTGTTTAGTTAAAGTAATTGAATTTGAAAGTTACTTTGCACTGTTTTCTAAACCACATACTGCAGCAAGAAACCAGGAAGTGAAACCTGTCTGTTGTTTCTGTTTCCCAAGCTGAGTAAAATAAAAGGCCTAAGGGCTTAGCTGGTGGAAAGCAAACCGGTTTATAAATGCTGGAACAAAATGTTTTCACATTGCAGATCAAGGGAAGACGGAAGATCGCCATGCATCCCACAGCCCTGAGTTTTACCTGGGGTCAGGATTTATGTGGGAAGCTGTTGACTGAAGAGTAGTACCAGGATCTTGAAAATTCAGCTGAACGGAGAAACTGCTAGGCTTAGTGAAGGTGATGAAAGTGGGCTGTTACAGGGAGGATACCCAGTTTTCACTTTCCATTTGGTATTTAAAGATATTTTAAAAAGCATCTTTAGGGCTAAGAGTTTCACATTCTCTGCTTGTTTGTATTTTGATGTAGGAAGGTGTGCTGCACACAGCTTACTGAGAGGCCAGGTTGTGACAGTGAGCTCTCCTTTGAGGTACATAAAATGGAAACTCCAGGTCTTCACAGTCAAAGGTGCAACTGTTGTTCATATCACAGAGATGCAGTGGTTTCTTAGGGGAGCTGCTGGCCAAGCTGCATTTGGTCTGAGCCGTATGTGGCATCAAGGCAGGCCTCCAGCATCATCTTGGTGAGGACCTGCAGTCAGTAGTGCATTACTCTTTAAGGATCTTTTCCATGCATTTGGCTGTGACTTTTTTTCCTACTGATATTGCTTGCAGCTGTGGACTTCCTGAGTAGTGAGGCCTTTTTTTTGAATATTGCTCTCAGGAATTGTCCCCAGATGACAAAAATGATTTCCTCATGATCAAAGGCTGAGGGGCAGCTGGTAGGCCTCATTCTACTTCTTCAGATACTCAGTCTTTTATGACTTTGTTCTTCAAACTGACCTGAACAAGATTTGTATAAAGCTGTGTATGCTGAGTTCTCAAAACAAGAAGTAGGTTCACGCAAATAAGTGTTGAAATTGTATTTTTGGAACATTGCAGTACTTTGGCACTTTCCTGCTTTGCTTGGAATTACTTCTTTTCCATACTTTATATTCTCTGGATGTTCCTTTAGGTCAGTATCATAATGCCTGCTATTAATTATATGGAAACTACAACAAATACAAACAGTGCAATAACACTGTGAATTCCCAGCTACAAAACATTCTTTTTTAACCTAGTCACCACTATTGGCTATGCATGTTCACCAGTGATGAACAAGAGCTTGAATACCACTTCTGTAAAAATCTGCACCAGCAGAAGTGGACCCCATCTCGCTGTCACCTGCTGAAAAGCACCTCACTGCTTCACTATCCTCACATCCATTCTTTGGTCTCCATAAGTGTTCAGCAAGTGCTGAGAATGTCAGTGGGTGCCATTTTTTCCACACGGAGGAATTTGGTGACACACTTTTGCTTAATATATACTTTCATGTGTCAGGCTGCTCCTCTGCTGCCATCTCTCACATGGCAACAGCATGTAATATTGGAATATTGGTGGGAAGGTTCAACATCTACTGCCATACCACCAGCATCTGCCTCTGATGTTGTGGGCCAACATCATAAAATGGAAGGCATTGCTTTTGGAACAGTCCTAATATGAGAGCAGAAACCCCTGAAACATTTATTTTCTGTTTGAGAAGGAAGATTATCTTGTGCCTTAACTTATGTGTAGGCAGATTGTAACGCTCCTGAGTTTGACATCACTAGAGGCTTTTTCCTCATCCTGTTGTTAACTCTGCACTCTTCTGCACATTAAGTCCTTTTGTCTGTGGTCTTAACTTGCTCAGAGACAACTTCTTGGTAACTGGTATACTGACATAACCATAGAACTCACTGAACAGTATTATTATTTCAGGTACATGGAGGAGCTGATACTTGTGTAAGTTCTTTAATTTTTTAAGCTTGAATGTGTGATGTTTTTCTTCTTGGAACTGGCTTCTCTACCTGATTTTTTACTGTTGCTTGGGTTGATTGCTTGGCACCTTCCTTTGTTAGTCCTGTTCAAATACAGAGGTGATACAAAACAGCCTTACAGATCAAGTCACGAAGATAGGTCTGATCTGAAGTATATTTATCATAGCTTCAGTGGAGTGGATTTGTATTCCCATAGCAGAGCTCTGAACCAAACCTGAAGGGCATGACTTAGCTATCATTCAAGTTCTAGGGGAACCAACTGTGAACAGTTATTATTTTATTCACTGCATAGATCTGTTCCAATACTTGACCTTTAGGCTGTATTAAGCTATTAAATTTCGTAAATAACATATGTAAATGATCACTGGATGAGCATAAATACACCTAGAGGAGGTTTTACATTTGTACTTAGAAGGGAAAAATATCTCTAAGTACAAACATACATGTATTATATGAATTATCATGAAAAATCTTTTACCTGTGTATTTCATTTAATCCTTTTGGATTGTATTTCATGTTCAGACACTACTTTTTCCTTTCTTTCTTCTCTTTAAATGCATTATTTTCACACCTCCAAATTTTTGGAGTTGTTGGACACTGCACTGTGAACGTGCTTCATGGATTAGAAGGGTTACAATCAGTAATTTATTAGTGGAGCACATAATGTGGGCACTAAATAGGAGGCAAATTGTTTATTACTTTGATAATTTTTAATTTCACTGTCAGAAGGCCATAGTTAGGGTGAAGGATACCTTTTAAAGTAAGGTGTTCATCTGGGTACTGTGTGCAAGATTTACTCTTCTTTAACTACAGCTGGCGGGATATCAGAAATGAGTGGATTCTTTATGCTTTTTACTGCAGGATCTAAACAGGATATTAAAGCATGGAAACACTGAGGTGTTTTCTTTTCTTTAAGAATCTCTTGTTTCCTTTGTGCTATTATCTGCCCCTCAGTGAAGCATTCCTTCTCCACAAGCCCCGCAGACTGAGCAGAATTGCAGATCTGTCATCTCTCAAATAAAAATGTGTGATGTCCTGAGATTTTTTTTACTTCATGTGTTGTTTGACATTGTTTACATAAAAACAGTGTTGGCTACGCTGAAGAAAATATTTTTTTTTCATATTTTTTTTCTCACCACAATCACCTCTTTGCCCTGTTCTTTATTTATTTATTTATTTATTTATTTGAGGCTAACCGAGGACATCACATCAATCTGAAATATCTCTTTATTCAAACATGTACTTAGCTTCCACTGGTATTGAAGGAGAGTGACAGTAAGCTGTTTATGAAATCAGATCTTTCATTGCAGCATATACCGTAAAGAAACTACATAAGACATATAAAACCCAAGCACAAAAACTAATTTTGTCAAAAAAAATTCCCATCTCCTATTTGCACAGTGGACTATTGTGGTCTGCTTTTCATACACGAGCAGAATGATCACACTAATGGCAATTCTGCAGTTGCAAGAGAAGCTGAATTTTGGTCTGAAGTAATTGCTTTTATTTGCTTAAAAATGTAGACTTGTATTATTTTCATTATGAAAGTTGTTTTTTGTGTTTTTCAATTCAGGGATTTATACGTAGCATTTAGTACTGCAGCATCAAAGATTCTCATGTAAACACAATGAGTTAATTCTCACCTCAAGTAGCAGTGAAATATTTCATAGCTGCGGCATTGAAAGAGTGACTGAATTCCTTGTGGCTATCTACAGCCAGAGACTAAACCCACTTATCTGAAGTCCTAGTACATTTTATGCAGTACATGTTTGAATGACTC